GACATCGCCTTGTCTGGTAATTGCTCCAACATCCCCACTGGGTAAGCAGACCAAAGTGAGTCTAGGACGATGCAGAGATCTACTACATACGTCATTTGCCTACATGTCTTACACTAGTGTAAGCAAGTGCCGTGCGCGTCTTACACCTCCGGGATATAAAAGCTTAGTTTGGTGTGGAGTCCCGTATTATACCGTATTGAGTATCTGTCACGGAACTAGAACTGCAAAGCTGGACCAAGGCACAACCAAAATGTAAGATATAGTCAATTCGGGCACCTGGCTGTTTGCAGTTATTTACGTACCGTGACAGTATAGGCTTACCGGAAAACTTACACAGGCATTGTCTTCATTCGGGATCTCGGCGAGATACTGTCAGTGTCTCGATCATGGGAAATATACGAACCCTGTTGTTGCAGAACAAGTTTGTATATGTTCATGGACTAGTCTCTAGCTATATACATACATGTGTTGTCGTCTAGGTGATCGTAACAGGTGATCATATCGACGATCATATAGGTGAGCATAACAAATATCTTTGATTTAGTGGGTAACCGGTAGTTCCATAGGTCTTGAGGTTTGGTTAAACCCCCTGTTTGAACCCTGGTTTTCGTACCTGACTTACCTTTAGATGGTTCTCGTCAATGATAAAACATCCGAGTGCTGTACACGAGAATTGTCAGCCTAGCCACCACCACCACGCCATTTATATTATACAGCCACTTTTGAAACCTAAATTTGGTGTTTTACAGCGTGGAATTATCATGAGTAGAAAGATAATGCATTGAACTGGCACTGAGAAAAATGTGGAATAAATAATCATGATTTAACTTTCTTATAATTATTTAAAAGTGGTAGGTAGTGGGTGGTAGCTTGGCTGACAATTTTCGTGTACAGTACTCAGACATCTAGCCTATCTACCTAGGTATGTATTGCTGCCTAGGTGTAGTAATTACATTTACAGATCTACATACATATTGCAGATCTTCGTATGGAGTAAGGCTATTAGACCATAAGCTCTATGTTCTTTGACATGTGATCCTTGTTAACTGCAGTCTATCAACTATCCTACTCCGTACTAGCCGAGCCGACAACGGCGGACGTTTTCTGTAGTAAGAACATCAATCAATTTATTGATGATATAAGTTCGAAATCCTTGGCTCTATTCTGCCTCACCTCTAACTGAAGCTATATTTTTTCAACAATAAATTCGACTACATCGGGAGATGTACATCACCTCAATCTAATTCCTCCCCGGTTGTCTTTTTAAAATGGAATGCCCCTACAAACCCAATAGTTCGGCTGCAACGCAGCAAGAACACAGCGTGAAGGAGAATGAGACTATACCCATTCCACAGCCTCCTGCCCACTGGTTCATCGGAAACCTACCGGAGATGGATCCGTCTTTTCCACTATCGTCTATATGGCGTCTTGCGGACGAATTTGGAGATATCTATAAGCTGAATCTCATTTCGAGACAAAATGTATTTGTCTCTTCCTATGAGCTCGCGAGCGAACTTATGGATGAGTCCCGTTTTCAGAAGAGTCCAACAGGTGGAACTAAAGAATTAAGAGCTCTCTTAGGCGATGGCCTATTCACTGCTTACGGAGACGAAGAGGTACGATTCCATATGATTCGATAGGCCTAAGTAATTCTCTGATACGTTTGTAGAATTGGGGTAGGGCTCATCGTATCTTGATGCCTGTTGTCGGTCCGCTGCAAATCAAGAAAATGTTCCCCGAGATGCATGATCTGGTATCCCAACTGGTACTCAAGATGGATAGAATGGGACCAGAGAACGAGATCATACCCTCTGATGACTTCACGATAAGCATATCTTATGACAGGCGAAATACGAGTCTATGCTGACTTTCTTTCACAGACTGGCATTTGATGTAATCGGGCTATGTGGCTTCGGATACCGCTTTAATAGCTTTTATCGAGAGGACATTCATCCGTTTGCTCAGCAAATGGCTGCTGCGCTCACTGAGGCCGGAAAGCGATCGAGTCGTTCATCTCTGGAAACCTACCTGCGCGTCAATGCGGCTAAGGAAATGCAGAAAAACATTGACGCAATGTGGAAACTATGTGATGAGCTTGTTGCTGAGCGGAAGCGGAATCCGCAGCCCAATGCAAGAGATTTACTGAATACCATGCTGAATGCTAGTGATCCCACCACTGGGGAGAAGCTCTCGGACGAAAACATTCGCTTCAACATGGCTACGTTTCTGGTAGGCTGTCAGCAACTTCCTATACTTCATGATACTTATTGTTATGGATAGGTTGCCGGTCATGAGACGACAAGCGGTACCTTATCCTTCCTGTTCTACCAATTACTCAAACACCCAGAGTCGTATCACAAAGCCCAGCAAGAAGTTGACCGGGTTGTCGGTAACGGCATATTGAAGCCAGAGCATCTTCCTCAACTCAAGTATATCGAAGCCTGTATCCGGGAAACAATGAGAGTTCAAGGCCCAATCGGACTACTCAATCGTCAACCCCTCGAAGATACGATAATCGGCGGGAAGTACCGGGTTAGCAAGGATGATGTTGTGTCAGTCAATATCCGAGGACTGCACCATGACCGTAGAATATGGGGAGAGGACGTGGACGAATTTCGCCCAGAAAGGCTTATGGATGGGCGCATGGAGAAATTGCCACCTAATGCCTTGAAGATGTTCGGAGACGGAGCCAGAGCTTGTATTGGGCGGTTTTTTGCAGAGCAGGAGATGGCTATGGCAACAGCAATGATCCTACAGCAATTCCAGGTCTCCATGATTGATCCAAGTTATGACTTACGTCAGTGGGGCCGATCGTTCCGTTCCCCTATTATGCTAACAATGATTTGTAGGCATGAAGAGCACGTTGACCGTTAAGCCTGATGGGTTTAGTATTAAGGTCACCAGGAGACCGGGAAGAAGTCTGATGATGGGGATCCCAGGTGATCCTCGGGCGAACGCCGACAAAGCTTCTGATAGCGGATATGATACTAATGATGAATCACTCGAAGAGAAGCGAGCTGGCAAACCATTGATGATTCTTTACGGTTCTAACGCCGGGACGTGCAAATATTTCGCTGAGGACTTGGAAACAGCGGCAAGAGACCGTGGGTTCAAACCCACAGTTAAATCCATGGATGACGGAACAGAACGACTATCGAACGATACTCCGGTGGCCATCATCACTCCGTCATACGAAGGCAAGCCTGCAGACAACGCCAGGAAGTTTGTATCATGGCTTGAAGCTTGTAAGCCCGATAATCTTAAAGATGTGCAGTACGCTGTATTCGGTGCAGGGAACATCGAATGGGTGAGCACATTCCACCGCATTCCGAAGTTAGTTGATGAAGTGATGTCTAAGCTTGGGGCGAAGAGAATTATTTCGCCAAAATTTGTGAATGTCAAAGAAGACTTCATTGGTCCCTGGGAAGATTGGCGGGATGAGCTGCTTACTTCCCTTGGCGGTTCATCGAAATCCGCTACTGCTACTACTGCCTCTGACCTGGAAGTGACTATCGAAAAGTCAGACACAGCTGCCTTGCTAGCTGTGGAGACAGTTTCCACGGGAGTTATCAGGGAGAACAAACAAGTTGCCGGAACTGAAGTTGGATCTGCTAAGAGACATGCGGAGATAGAACTGCCCGAAGGGATTACGTATGAGCCTGGAGGTAAGTTCGCGAGAGGAAATTTCGTTGAGACTAATCTGACCAGTGCATGTAAGATTACTTGGTTGTTCTTCCGACCAACCCCCTAGACTTGGTACACCGTGTAGCTACACGGTTTGGTCTGAACGTCATGGACGTCATAACCGTCAAGGGCACGAGCAAAGCGTTTCTGGTGCGTGACTTACATGATATCCAATTAGGCGTTGAACTAACTGATAGCCCAGGTTGGCCGTGGACCGAGTACCGTTATTGAGATCCTCGGCCGGCGTGTGGAGTTGGGTACTTTGGTCTCCAAACGCCAGATCGAAGCGATTGCAAAGACGGCGGAAGGAAGCGAGCAGCACAAACTTCAGGACCTGACTTCTTCCGAAGACACTTTTAAAAGCGAGGTTATTGACAAATGCATGTCAGTGCTCGATATTCTCGAGGACTATCCCAGCGCCAAGCTCTCCTTCGCTGCTTACCTTGACATGCTAAGACCGCTAACGCCAAGGCAATACTCCATTTCGTCGTCCCCACTCGCGACGCCACCGGAAAAGCCCGTTCGGGCTTCAATAACGTACGACGTACACTCGGCGCCGGCGCTCAGCGGCAACGGCCGTCTGTTCGAGGGCGTGGCATCAACATATTTGGCAAGTCGTACTGTCGGATCACGAATTCCGTGTACTGTGCGCCGCTCCAACACGGGCTTCCATCTGCCCAAGGACCCCGAGATCCCCATCATCATGGTTGCGGCCGGAACGGGCTTGGCACCGATGCGTGGGTTCATCCAGCAACGTGCATGCATCGCAAAGAATAGCAGAAACAAGCTCGGGCCCGCGCTGCTCTACTTCGGATGTCGCGACTTTGAGAAGGATTTCTTATACGCGGATGAACTACGCAAGTGGGAGAGCCTAGGCGCCGTGCAGGTCCGGCCTGCGTTCTCACGCCGTGGGCCTCGGGGAGAGGCTGAGTATAGGTACACACATGAGCGTATGTGGGAAGAAAGAGATGAGATCCGAGAGCTATTTAGACAGGGGGCAAAGATCTTCGTGTGCGGTTCCGCAAGTAAATTGGCCAGGAGCACAAACAAGGTCGCGATGCGCATCTGGAGGGCTGGTTCCGCTGACAGGAGCGAGCAGGATGCCCAAGACTGGTTGGCTAGTATTCGCGAGGTAAGGTATGTGAGCGATGTATTTGACTAAATAAATAAGAAACATCGCTCCTGCTCTTTTCTGCTTTTCCATGGGTGAAACTTCCAGGTTGTTCTGTGTACTATGTGTAGCGCTTGCCCCAATCAAGAGACGACATACCTCCCAAGCTCGGTATCGACAACCGTTCAACGACCACCGATTGGATGGTGAGATGGCCGAGTGGTTATGGCGCTGCGTTCAGGTAAAACTGAACAAATTTCGCAGTGGAGCAATCCGCGTGGGTTCGAGTCCCACTCTCATCATACTGTCTTGAACTTTCTTTTTAGTTTTTTCGATTCTTTTTGTGTATCTAGTGTAGGTAGTGAATTAAGGTTGATCAACAGCGGTCGCAGAGTCAACGGTAGGTATTGTTTGCGATCTTTACAGCTCATTTAGTATGCCCCGGTTGGCACCTTCTTTGTCCAGCTAATACATACTATTCATTCTACTCCACGGATGAGACTAACAGATTCCCATCTGCAACACAATCTTTCTATGCTTTCATGATGATTCGTCATGCCGACTAAGAGATCCGGCAGCCCAGAATTAGTAACAAATCCATTTATTAAGAAGAGAAATCTACAATGGAGCATTGACATCACTGGCTTACCCCACGACGCCGCTAGCTCAAGCAGCTCCGATGAAGACGAGAAATCCCTTCACCAAAATGAGCAGCTCCCCACAACCTCGGCGATCGAAGCTGGGAGAGCCAGCGTAGAGGATCATCTCGATTACTTCAGCGCACTTCTGGCCAGGACCACCCTGTCGCCGTTTCCTTCAGGCACCCCTCACCTGTCCGTGAAAGGTTATCGGGACCTATATGAGGCCAATGCGGGAAGTTACCGGGGAGCTCACTTCATCATTCATCAGCATGATCATCCAATCGCAGGTACGCATTACGATCTACGGCTGCAAATTAATGAGACGAGCAGTGCGTCATGGGCCATTATGTATGGGCCCCCTGGGGACCCGAACAGTTATCGGTTGAATCGAAACGCGACTGAGACTCGAATTCACTGTCTATGGGTAAGAACGCGTTGTTTCTTGTCCCGAGAGCTATAGCGTGCTTGTCAAATATCAACAGATAGATATACTGACGATTAATAGAACCATCTTATTGAAACGGGCTCCCACGCCACCGGCTCAATTCTCATCTGGGATACGGGAACTTACACCATCCTACCAGCGGAGAAGAAGAGTCCACTAGATGACTCGCAATCCTCGACAGATGAAGATAGCTGCTCACCACAGCTAACAGAGCAGCAAAAGCTGCATCAGGCATTTTCAGCAAGGAAGATCAGACTACAGCTTCACGGCGCGCGTCTACCGTCACCGTATGTGTTGAACCTACGTCTTACGCGCGAGGAGGATGCAGCAGGGCGGACACGCAGCACACGGACCCCCAAAACCCGACGGCGACGAGGTGCTCCGACGGCGGGTTCGGGCAGATTGACCAGATCCAGAGGAAAGAAAGTCGTCGAGTACGCTACGAGTTCTGACTCGGAATCCGATGATGATGTTGTACATGCTCCCACCGGGCAGACCAAGGGTGACGAGAAAAATATTTCGGCAACCGAGCGCGAACTGCGCGAGCTTGAGGACGAGGAGGTTCGCAGAACCAATGCGTACCCTGGGGCAATCAACTCTATTGGCAGCGTGCACCAGCGGCGTTGGTATCTATCTCTAGACCGCGAGGCGAGTGGGTTTGTGAAGCGACGGAGAGAAGGTAGAGTTGTTTGGGAAAGCGCAGACGCTCACTCAGAGGGCGCAGCAGGGGTCCGTCGGAAGGCAGTCAGAGGCAGAAACGAGAAGAATTCAAATCAAGATGAAGCTACCACGTCACGGTTAGCCTACCCATTCTACGTTCGCGGTGTCGAGCATGAGCGTAGTGTGGTTACCGGTCGACTTGGTAGCGAAGTACTGAAAGACGAGGGAGTGGTTGGATATATTGGGCGGAAGGGTTGGCAGGCGGTTTTGAAATGAAAATTCAAGCCCCTATATCTAGTTCATACTACCATTACCACTATTACAGGACTACCATACGAGATTGGTACGTTTGTTTTCTAGAAACATCTATGATGTCAGTGGTTTCGAAAAGGTCTTCCCTCGATATCGATGTTCAGCAGAGTGGTTAGTCTTACAAAATGTTCTCAATTCACAAAAAGATTCTACATATCGTCATGGGTCACATATTTTGGGAGTTCAGAGCTCAAGTAAATATATTAACATAGCAGAGCTATACGAGAAGGTATCACCTAATTCTTGTGGGCTGAGTTTCTTAACATGGATAAAATACATCTATGAAATTTCTGATCCGTTGAGAGCGTCACAACCCAAACTTCCCGTGGAATGACAATCTTCGCCTGTAGTAAAAGCCTAAACAGCAGATACAAGTGGCTAGTTCCGCATATTCTTAACTAAGGTAGCCTCAATGTTCGTCCTTCATAGGGATCGACTCTGACTCTGACTCTGACTTTGACTTAGATTCGGACTCTTCGGGGGCCCAATCCATATCGGAGTCATCGTCAGATGATGATGATGATGACGACGACGACGACGATGATGATGATGATGATGATGATGATGATGAGGGTGCTGGGAGTTTCTTCTCCCTGCTGTCCGGCAACTTTATCGCGGGTTTAATCACCAGGTTCCCTGACTCAGACGAGACCTCCTCTTTCATTTGTTTTGCGGCACGAGCAGGCTTCACCAATGCAGCAGTCCTTCTGACATTGGCCCTGAGTCGCTCCACATCAATAACGACTTGATTCTCCGAGATCCGTATGAGAAGTCTAGGACTAGGATTCTTGATATAAGGCCTCATCCCCATCTTCTTTAAATCACCGTTCTGTTTAGCGTCTTCGATGCCCTGCATTTCAATGTCCAGCGACACAGGGTCGATATATGTATCGCCGACGAAAGACTTGAAAAGATTATCCAGTTCTATGCTCCAGTCAGCCATACTGGCCATCACAGCATAGTCTAACCCGCGGAACATCGGGCCGTGATGGCTCGATTTGACGCCCACTGTGTTGATCTCGTTTCTTTGGCATCCAGGACAGCTGCAAACGAAGGCCATGAGGAAAGCATGCGTCATCTCATGAGCTAAGGTGCTAACCAATGCTGAGAGGCTTTGGTGATCTTCATGATCTCTGTATATGGAGATGACGCATTGAGGTAGTCCTTCTTTGTCGTCTACTTTATGACAGAATCCTAAATGATCCACGTCGGGCGGTGGATTCGTCAATACCAATTTTTGGATCAAAGGCGAGGAGCCATTAGTGAGAGATCCAAAGAAGAAGAATTCGTCCAAATGTCCCATCAGTACCACCAGGGTGCCGTATAAATCGAAGTCTGAGTCCTTGAGGTCCTTGAGGTCCTTGAGTGGTGTCTTTATTTGGCGGTCGAAAAGCTTAATGAAGTCCGTCTTAGCTTGTCTTTGGTGTGGTGTGAGTTTGCTATTTCCGATCTCATAGAAACTTGCCACGGTACAGTTCAGAAGCTCTCGTGCTCTGTATGCACCTGGTTGCAAAGATGGGCGCACATTGTCCCCTATCCTGTATGCATATGGCTTGTGATGTTTCACATCTTTTGCCTGGGTAGTTTCCTTGGTTTTGCCGGACATCTTTATGGTATCTGGGTGTTTTAAGCTTGAGTGCAGATTCAGTGTGGGTATATCGATGCTGCTCGTTATGGTGATGTTGTACTATCGCAAAAATACACCTATTGGCCGACTGGGATATGAAGTGTTTTATAAAGATTAGCCATGCGCCATGTAACATCGGTAACAACCCAGATCGACTGAGACGAATCTAGATTAATCTAAATTGTGGAAGCAAAGACACCAGAATCACTGTCCCTTATGGTGTCTTCGCGAATGTTGTAGACAGCAACCATAGAAGCTTCTATCCCGAGTCATCCATGGCCGAGATATTTTTTGATTCCTGTACGGATACATACTTAGCGCTCTTTGTAGTCTCTCAGTTATCTTTTGCTGAGTCATAGGCATGTTACTATAAGTGTAGTACAGGTAGCCAGAGTTCGAAAACAGGTAACAGGCGGGGGAGGATAGTACGTTCAAGCCTCTACCGCCTCCTGATTTTGTTCTTTCCTTGAAGGCCTTTAGCAATCCCTCTCAGGGGGTACAAGGAATGGCTGAAGAAGCCACACATTCAAAGACTGGCATATCGTTTTATTAACAAATATGCAAGAACGTGAGGCATTGGGTAGCTCATGCTTAACCGGTTGCTTAATCGGATAGGAGTTTGCTTGCTCACACGCATTAACCGAAGGTACGCCACGAGTTGACCCATCAAGTACACCAATGGCGCTAGACAGTCTGAAGGAAACAGGTGGTTTCGCACAAACTTGAACAGAAGGAAGGAGGAACAGGCCCCCGTGTCCCATTTCCAACTCATGTTTGTGGCAAACCCCATGATCCCATTCACAGGTGCCCCAACACAAAACACCCACCATAATCTCTCCAACATCGAATACTTTCTCTACTCAAAAGAACTCTTACTACTTTGAAAGGCTAGAATTAGTATCAAGGACCGGTAACTGTGAAGAAACCAGCATCAGAATCTCTCTCCAGTTGTTTTCCCAGGCTTTGTATGCACAAGTGTCGCGCCGTCTGCATCCTCACGCGTCCTACATCTTCCCTGCATAGTTTCCCCTTGATATATACACTTATCATCACTTGTTGTCTGTTGTCCTACACCTAGCCCCTTCTAAACACGATTGTCTGAGACCATCTACTGCACCATGGCTGTATCCGCTATGGCTGAATCCATAATCACGGAGTTGAAGAACGTGATTGACGCGTACGCGCTTCAGGCGCCCGACAAACTCGAAGAGAAACAGAACAGCCTTTGGAAACACACCAAAAAGGTAACCGAGGACTCCAAGAAAGCGGTCAAGAAGAAGGCCTGGCAGGTAGGCAGACGGATGGCAAGACCTGTACTCAACTGGATATTTATCGAGCCAATTGTACTTCATCCAAGAGAGCATCCAGAGTGGCCGGGATATACTGGCATCGGAAACAAGCTCAAGTTCAGACTCGGAACGCAAGTGTACGAATCGCGCTGTCTCGTCGAGAATACCATCGCCTGCTTCTACCCCACCAAAGACCACCTCAACTTGACACCGACGCAGCTCGTGGCACGAGGCAAGATCATCCAGCTTTTCGAGAAACTCAGAGATAAGTCCTTCGGTCCGCTCGAGCTGAACGAATTCATGCGACTATTCGACGCCTTCTTCTTCT